CCAAGTGGCTCCACATCAGGAAGAGGTGGTACCCAGGATTGAAGACCTTCTGTGGCTGAGAAGATCGGCAAGAGTACACTGACCACCAAATTATTCGAAAAAGTATGACTTAACATTATGTAAATGTATACAACAGTTGTTTAACAATGTTACAAGCTGATAACATTATGCTAAAAGAGATGTAAAACACTAATAGAGTATTGTTGTTTATTGCTGGCTATGTGTCTATAAAGGGGAAAGATGTAATGATGTTGTACATGTTGATAACACTGTCAGAGGGCATTGAGTAATTGTAAGATGGCAATGGTGGAGTGAAGCACATGCTAGAGAATAAAGAATTAGCTAAATTTCAGAACTCATCTCATTAGTTGTTACAGTAACCAGATCAAAGTGCGATACCGGCTTGGACATTGCCCGGGTTAACAAGGTCCACATTTGTGGGTTAGGCAGAGGTTCATGTTCGAAAAATAAGCCACAGTCTCCCTTGGTTAACGATGGCAAAAACAGCGCCGACCCAAGCATGACTATTGCAATGCCCTCAACAGATGTGAGGAATCAACCTAGCTTTGGTGTTTCTGTGGCAATGCATCCACAGACCACAAAGGCTGGAAAACCACGCCAACAGAAATGAACACGTTTATCATCCGTACTTACTACGCAATCACAAAACTCAAAACAAACATGACAGCATACAGACAACGACTACACCATAGATTCACACAACAATATCCTCACCTCACTGTCACCAAACAAAGGGTTGTCGATCAAAAAAAAACAATTATATACAACAACCTTATCCCACAAACAACACTTGAACTTATCAAACAACAGGTTGCTGATTAAATACATCAACAGACAGAAACATTTAACATTATTAATGAAGATCACATAACCTGTCAGAATAATACAGCAACAAGCATTGATAATAGCACACATACAACAACTACCAGTAATCATACTACAGGCACTCCCTCATCCATCACTGATAACATAGACATAGAATTAGTTAGTTAATACACTCTCACTTATATTTCAGGAAACACTCACTAAATATACAGGCACAGATCCCACACAAAGACCACGAATACCAAAAATCAACACGTCAAATGTAGTAGGGAAAACACTAAATTATGTAAACACTCACTTATATTCATTCAATTTCTACACTCTCAGACATTCACACATTAGTTTGTGCTGGGGCAGTCACAGTAGTGACACACCATGGACTGAAAATACAATCACAGACAGATACACACAAAACACAATTCTATCACAAGCCTGTCTGGCAGAGAAAAATCGAAACACAAATAAATGACATTAGACAGCAATTAGGTAGGCTGACACAATACATTAAAAACAACATAACACCCAAATTAATGAAACAACTCAAAAACATTTTCAAGAAAATCAAAACACACACAAAACATGAACATCACAACACACACATTATAGAATACATTGATACACTAAAACAAAAATTCGCAGCAAAAGCACGTAGACTCAAACGATACAAAACATGTACACTACGAAAACAACAAAATAAATTACTCACAAACAATGAAAAACTTTTTTACAGACAAAGCAGTACCAAAACAAACACTGATACACAGCACAGTGGCACACCAACAGAAGGAGAACTCACAACTTATTGGTCTTCTCTTTGGTTCAATGCTGTTACACACAAAGCTGATGCAAACTGGATCAAGGAGGAGAACAGAAACTTGCACAACATACCAACTGTGCCCTGTGCTGAAATAAACATACACGACATTCGCTACGCCGTTAACAGAACACACAACTAGAAGACACCTGTTGTAGACAACATTCACAATTTCTGGTACAAAAAGTTTACATCACTGCACCAGGAACTAGCTAAACATCTAACACACATCATCATCAATCCACAAGACATGCCAAAATTTCTTACTCAGGGCATCACCTACATGAAACCTAAAAACAACAACACCACAGACCCCTCACAATACAGACCAATTACATGTCTTCCAACACTCTACAAATTATTGACATCCTTTATCACAAACAAAATATACAAACACGTTGAAGAACACGACATTCTTACAGAACAACAAAAAGGTTGCCGTAGAAATCACAGGGGATGCAAAGAACAGTTACTCATAGATTCAGTCATTCTACGGCAAGCACACAAACAACACAGAAACATACACATGGCATATATAGACTACAGAAAAGCATTCGACAGTGTTCCACACAGTTGGTTGCTACATATTCTACACATGTACAAAATAAATCCATCCCTCAATGCATTCTTCGAAAACACTATGCAGCATTGGAGAACAACACTGCATCTCAGGGTTAGTAACACTTCCATACAAACAAATGAGATATTCATTAGGCGAGGAATTTTTCAAGGAGATTCCTTGAGTCCTCTCTGGTTCTGCCTAGCCCTGAACCCATTATCCAACATGTTAAACAACACACAATATGGCTACAATCAGTGGCATAGTGTAGTGGGGGCGGCAGGGGCGGCTCGCCTCAGGCGGCACTTTTTAGGGGCGGCAAAATTTCACAATAAATAATAATAATATCTTGTAAAAATTTGAACCATTTTATTTCATATTTTCGTCTCACCTACGATTCAGGCCGATTAAAATGAGCAAGCACAGAATAGTGTTACCACCCGGACAGTTTGGGAATCGACTCACTGTCCAGGTGAACGGTTAATTTCTCTCGGCAATATCGTGCGCAACCTGTCAAGCTTTTTTTTTTTTATGCTTGTACGATTTGTATTCATACACATCTCCCATATCCAATAGAGCTATGTCATCTAGGTTACTTACGTTACTCCTATCCAAGTCTCCCTAGTCCCTAACTGTACCTGATTTCGAACTGGCATGCTCTGCACATTATTCTTCGCATTGCAAAATGACATTACGCATGCGTCAGGAACTTTTGTTTGAACAAACCTTATCTGCCGTCCGGGTCGGCGATTTTAAAAAGGTGGCAACACTAGCACGGAATTTTTCATTACTTATTCTGTGATGAAACTAAATTTTAGTCTTTTAAATTGAGATACCTAAATAAGGGGACAGCGAAATTTTCCTTAGCCCCAAGCAGCTGATACCCATGCTACGCTACTGGCTACAATATCAGACACGAAAAAACAACACAGTTTACACTGTCACATCTCATGTACATGGACGACATAAAACTTTATGCATCCACACAAAAACAACTTCATCAACTCCTACAAATCACACATTCATACACTAAGGACATACAAATGGAGTTTGGCCTAGACAAATGCAAAACACTTCACATAGAAAAAGGAATTCTGAAGAAAGAAGATTTTGCACTTGGAAATGGAGACGTTATTGAATCCATGGAAGAGGGCGAGTTCTACAAGTACTTAGGATTCCAACAGGCCAAACTAATAGAACATACACAAATAAAGCAACGATTAATTAAAGAATACCAAAGTAGGTTAAACGCTATACTTAGAACACAGTTAAATGTAAAACACACAGTTAAAGCAATAAACACGTATGTTGTCCCAGTACTCACATACTCTTTTGGAGTTATACATAGGACTCACACAAATCTTGAGCATCTCCAAAGGAAAACAAGAACAATGCTTACTAAGCATAAACAACATCATCCTAAATCCGCTATAGAAAGATTAACCCTTCCACGTAAAGATGGCGGACGTGGCCTGATTGACATAGTTAACCTTCACTACAAACAAATACAGTTACTGCGAGAGTTTTTCTACAGGAAACAAGAAACATCACAATTACATAAAGCAGTAACTCTAGCAGACTCAAATAACACACCATTAATTTTCCAATGGTTTAGCTGTTTTATATGTTGATTTAGTGAATGTCTCTTCATTCCAAAAAAATCTTTCCGGTAGACTACCTCACAGCGAATTTAGGTTATAAACTCCTTTTATTGTTTTTTACAGATGCATTTTGAGCTGGGTTAATTTACTAGCTTCTCCTCAGTGCTTAAGAGTTCCATGAGTTTCATATGGTCTAATTTTTCATACTTATATGGTACTTTTAGTCCCATTTACAATATTTTTACCATTTTATAAAATTACTCAAAGGGCTTGTATCATGTATTGTAAAAATAGTACTGGTTGCAACTGATTTCTTTCTAATTAAATTACTTTAAGAACTTCTATCTTGTTACATCATAAAAAGGTACTGTTTGTTACAGAAATACTTTATATTAATTTATCAGTTTAGTGTTTCATGGCAAATTATACAGTAGGGCTATTTAATTACTTGTATAATTTAATTTGAATTTTTCAGACTACTTAGAAATAATTATTAATTCATTCCTAATGTGTTTTATTTTGTGCGCTAGCATGCAATAATTTTCAGAGAAATTTTGGATCCTAAAAACACACTGTATTTGTGTTTGAGATGATGCCTTCTAAAGCGCATAAGGATTAAGGATAAGTGATGGGTTTTCAATGACACTTCACAGGTGCAGAGTGTATACAGCAGTGTAAACTATGCAATGTTTTAATTTTTATTTTAACAATTTTCTGCATATTATATGTGATATGTGTTATACTTAATGGCCCACCAGTGGCCAAGTGGTTCCATTCCCTGAACACTGGGAGTTCAGTTTTAAGTTTGTGCCTCACCAGGATGGGCTGGACAGGTGGAATTTTCTGGGTTTTCTCCATGTCTGTAATGCCTGAATAGGGACCAGTTACACTTAAAGATCTCCCAGAAGGCATCCCCCTAGGCCGATCACCCAAGTGTTGTGTTGCCTTAGCAAAACAAAAACAATTACACCTATTGCAGAAAATTATATTTTTAGCCTCATAAAAAGAATCTTGTAATTTTTCTAATAAACCTAAAATAAACAATTATTTCTCATAAGTTGAGATTAAGTACTGCCACAAATAGCTTTTATAGAATTAAATTTTAAAAATAAAAGGTTAAAATTAAATTAATTTCTAATAAATATTTGTCAAATGTTTGGATTAAAATTTCAGAACTTACCTGTAGGGACTAAGAAAACAGTTCTTTTTGCTCTATCATAATCACCCAATGTTTGATTTGCATAATGTCTTATTAACATTACTGCTATAAAAGTCTTTCCAGTTCCAGTTCCCAAACAAGCTATTGTATTTTTTTCTTTTGCGATCTCTAATATTTCAACCTATGTTAAATATTTTTACATTAATTTAGAATACTACAAATATCATTTAAATTGATTACTTATTATTTCTGAAACTTATATTAAAATTACATATATTAAGTACAAAGATATGAAGTCAAAATATATGATAATAAAATTATTATTGATCAAATTTTGTCAATAACTGTTTAAGAATGCTATCACTGAGAAACTTCTGTGTTTATTTTAAGAGCCACATCAACAAAGTAATATTAACAATCAAGATATAAAAATTAGGTCTACTTCATATAGAAAATATTTAACTTTCATAACTAAAATATATTTATAATAATTTGTTCATGAATGAATAAGCTATCCAATTCAATGCCAGTTATATGACTGAACAAAAGAATCAAAATCAGAAAAAAGATAGCAAGACAACATTTACATAAATATAGTATTTCTCAAGATAAGATTTGGGGTCAAAAAATCTGATAGTCTGAGGGTAAAATGCTACCAGAAAATTGCTTCATCTCTTCAACAACCACTTTTTAAGGAACTCAAATCTTTATCATATAGAAAAAATGCTTTACACTCCAAATAAACCATCTTTAGTTTCAACTACAAGTATTTTATAAACTTCATATTTTATATGATATTCAAACAAAGACCTCTATTTAGTTCATTACTGAATATTAGTTTTAGATTAAACCCTTTAAATTATATAGATGCTCTTAAATTAAATTTTTTTCTTTTTTTTTTAAATATTCTAAATTGTGAGACAAACATACATGTATTTGTACAGTATGAAAATTACTAGAAAACTTTGTCTACCAAAAAATTACTAGTAGAATCTAATGGACCATAGGTATTGTTCAAAAACTATTTTCTGAATTACTCATACTCATGGATATTAATTTAAGTGTGAGGCTGGGACAACACACCTCCCGGAACCAGCTGTCGAGCTAAAATCAATATATTGGTGACTTATTACATAAATAGGACAGGTGTGACCAAGGAACGGGGTGCCAGACAATTTAATTGTCACATTCCAGACCTAATTCACAGATCCACGATCGTCAATCGTGAGAATGAGAGAGGGATCTTCTGCCAGGGTAACTTTGGATGGTCACCTTACAGAGAGTTCAAAGCGGGACCTGCTGACACTCCTGTAGAGGGGGTGGCTGGGACAGCTGTGTCTTCTCCTGGACAGAAAAATACACATTAGGTAAAATTTATGGGTCTGTCATCTGGGAAAGGGCTTGACCTAACTCCGGAGGGGAACGGCCCGGATGGGGACATTCAGCGACCCCATGGCCCGAATTGCATCCCTGGCAACAGACCAAGGAACCAATAGAATCACAGGGGACCATCATTCGGACCAACCAAAATCTCAGGATTTCGGGAAGAAAAAGGTTATAAAAGCCCAAAATCCCAAGAACACACAGAGGTTGGAAGAATACAGTCCGGTCGAGTGGGCCTAAGATTTAGAGAAGCAGAGGCAATCACGGAAAACTACAGTAGAAGACTCTGGGGACCGAACTTCCCGCTGTGGATTTTTACACAATATGAACAAGGACTTAACTTCCCTTCTGAACCATCGAGTGGGCTTGGGCTATGTGAAATGACTTTGCTACCACTTCCTCCTCCAACCGAGAGAAGAAGGAAAATCTCTGGCTACCTAAGTGACAGAACTTTTCTGGAGTGTGACACACGTGTTCCGTAGGAAAGACTCCAGTGTTGGGTGCAACATTTTCTATTGGACTACATTTTTTTTCCATATCTGTAAGCATGATTTTCCATATAAATAAATGCGTTGAATTGGTATATACAGTCTCTGTGTGAGTCATCTTTGCGTCCAGCAAACTACTACCCCCATACGGAAAAGGCTTTCTCGCATCATCCTGACAGATTGCAGGCAAAGCGAGGGTTGTAACCTTTAACCAAAAGGTCAACCCCACAGTGGTGTCGTCAGGGTTCCTACCCCACAAAGGAATTAGTTTATAGTATGTGAAAAAATTGTAAACAAGCAACATATATTTAAAAAATTATTAGTAAATACTTATTATAATTTAATTTATCTTCTTATTTTTTAAACCACTGTACTTTCAAATAAGCTAAAATAATTAATTTTGAAAGCATTAGATCAAAATTATGAAAAAGTTTTTAAAGAATGGTGGATACCTAATTAAAATTATTGCATTTTTAAAAAGTTTAAAATAAGATACTTTAGCATATAAAACTTTTTGGATTAGTCTAATGATTAAAAATTTAAGTGTGAAAACTTTCAGTTTTCACAGTTTAATTTCTACAATAGTTCATATCCACTCACATGCGAATTGAGGGTATGAAGGAAAACTGGTGTGTTCCAAGAAATTTTATAAATTATATTATTTTAATTATGCATTTTAAAAATTATATATGTAATATAAAATATTATATTATATTTAGTATTTCATTAATTTTNAGGAGACATTATATTTAGTATTTCATTAATTTTAATAATATAATTGTGTTAAAATTTAAATTAATTTTTAATTATGCACTTTTAAAATGATATTTTAGTTTCTATTTTAACCTTAAAAATATTTCAAATTTATCATGATAAACACAAATTGTCATGTAAATTTATGTCACTGCTAACAGAAAAATATAGTTGTGTTATTTGAATTCTTGTTACTTATTAAATTGTCTGGTAATGAGAAATGAATCCAAGTAGAGAATACCAAATAAGATCTTTTTCCCAGTATTTGTCAATAAGTTACTGTCTAATTGACAGATTTTTATTTGAGAATTTTAATAGTGTTTCTGATTGATGTCAGTTGAAAATTCAAATTATTACTGATGTTTTTACTCTTTAATGGCTGTAGTAATTTTTGTATTTTAATTATCTTGATAGCATTGTTCACATCATCCACCATATTTTCATGGAATGACTAGCATGCTGTGTATCAATGGGGGAGACCAGTATGCCACAAACCACCGAATTACCAGCATGCTGGTTAAAACTGCAACTAAAATATAAAATTAAATCAGATCAAAACTAGTTAATTAATTGTTAAAGAAAACATTCTTCAAAGTACCTGTACAATTAAATAATATGGTAATTTGACCAACTTAAAATCAGGAAGAAAATTTTCAATTACAAGATAATAAAACAATTAATAACTTAGTGGTGGTGGTGGTGGTTTAGTCAGTGTGGGCTACACTGATACACTGATCATCTACCCCAACCTTAAAAGTTACACTTTCCTCTCAAATTTTTATTATGAGAGTATAATAGTAAAAAGTAGAGAGTGGGCAGATGAAATCTGATGTTGCTGAGCAGTATGGCTTGAACAGGTCTACAGTAGGCCAGAATTCAATCTTATCTGGCATTTGATAATTAACTATTCATTTATTAATGTATACAATATAAAATATTAGAAATAATACTCCTCCCCTTTCAAAATCCAAATTGCAGCACCAGTAACCATTTATTAAATCAATTTGCTATAATCTTATTTTTTTCTACACTTTGTAAGTTATTTACTATCTACATGTGATAGTCTGATGAATTATTTTTGTCATTTCTTTTATATATTGCTTTTAATTTTAAATTAAAAGATGGAAATTTTTGGATTACAAGATTTCATTAAATAAGTTTAGTCAATAATCCTGCATCATTGTTCCAGCAAATTTAATAAACCATGTATCTAAAAAATGTCATTCTTTAATAAACTTTGCTGTCAATGATAAATATATAAGTTAGAAAAATATTTACCATTGACAACAGATGGAGATGGGCCACTTCGGTGGGAGCGTCCGTAGAATTCACCAGCTCTGGATGCTGGTCTTAACGATCAAATAGCTGCAGTCTGAGTCTAGACATAATCATGCACACAATACCTTCCAAGGGAACTCGATCAAAAGATCTCAAAAAATTGTCCTTTGCCCCTTCACTTTTAAGGGGATCATCTGGTCCAATCCGGAGCAGGGTCAGTAGCTCACATTCAGGTCTGCCTCAGACGAGATCCTGGTGTGATACATCCCGCTATGCTGACCCCTCCAGAAAAACCAAACTGCCCGAACAAAAGACAAAATTGCTTTGTCTCTGCCAACTGTTAGGCCTACATGACATTAGTGTACGTAGTGTTGACATATTTTCAAAATATCCCTAAAATTTATCAAAAATTGCTAAATTCCTTTTCTGCTACTGTCCCAAATTAAGTATTTAAATTATGTATTAATTTATTAGTTTGGTTTCCGTTCTGAGATTTGGCCCAATAAAGCGTCTGCCCCAATTAAACAAAATTGACTGTGCACATATACACAATATATATACAAGGTCTGTTCAAAAAGTATCGGACCTTATTTTTTTCCGCGTAAACCAATGATGCGTGAGAGGCCTCCTTCGGTGGAGTTGTGGAGGGGACAGTCATGCACAGCCCTGAATTTTTTCCCGCCTGCAGAAAGCGTCAGTCGTTGGCAATCGGCGTATGAGTGAGGTCATGTAGTGCGCTCTCGTCGGATTTCACTAAGCTGGAAAATGACTGAACAACGTGAGCAGCGATATTACATCAAATTTTGCCAAAAACCTTGGCGATACCCGAGTGTAAACCATTCGCAAGATTCAGCAGGCTTTCGGGGACGATCCTCGAGGCCAAAAAAAGCGCGGCAGGTCCGCAGCAATATCAAAGGTCATGTTGACAGTTTTTTCGACTCTCGTGGGGTGGTGTGTCGTGAGTACGCACCACAAGGCCAAACCATCGCAAAGGAGTACTACCAGGAGGTCCTTCGTCGTCTTTCCGATACAGTGCGACGCAAACGACCGGATCTGTGGTCGATCAAAACTTGGCAGCTCCATCGTGATAACGCATCCGCCCATTCTGCGCATCTGATTCGGGCTTTCGTCGCCAAACACAATACTCCTGTGGTTCGTCACGCTCCGTACTCTCTCCACATGGCTCCGTGTGACCTTTGGCTATTTCTCAAGCTGAAAATGCCGCTAAAAGGAACCCAAATTTAGTCGAGAGAAGACATCATGCGAAATGCGACGGACCGGCTGATAACCATTCCAAAAGATGCGTTCCAGCAGTGTTTCCAGCAATGGCAGGAACGCTGGGAGAAGTGTATACATTACCAAGGAGACTACTTTGAAGGGGATTAGGGTTTTGTACCTCAAAGTCAATAAATTTATTTTTGCCGACCAAAGGTCCGATACTTTTTGAACAGACCTTGTATATAGTGTGTGTGTGTGTGTGTCATAAAATATTATTATTATTATTATTAAATTAATTAGCAAATTTCAAAATTATTATTACATTTTAACTTTCATTATTAATAATTTTAGTCACATAATATGAAATAGATGGATAATATATAACAAAATTTTTACAAACCTGATATTCTCTAGGAGTAAATATATTCTTTTCAATTAGTTCATTTTCAGAAGTTTGTGATTCAGTGGTTTCTTCATCCTAATTTTAACAAAGACACATAAATAATGCAATTTAATTTTGTAATTACTGTATATAAGAGTTGCATAATTTCAAAATTGGAATATTGTAAGCATGATAGCACTGTAATAAAGATAGATGAATACCCAGCATTAGGTAGACAGTAGTTATTTTGGAAAATAAGTGAATAATCCTAATTAAATTTATTAAATTATCAATTAATAACAAAAAATTAAAAAAAATGTTTAATATGTTATATATTTCTACTAAGTTTTTGTTAAAAATCTGGCTGCCCCATTGTGGACATGGAAAAATCCATGCTGGACATGATTAAATATAAAAGTCCTCTTTAGTGGCCATGTGGCAAAAGTAGCAAAAAAAAATAAAAAAATGCTAGACTATGGCCAGATATACCATTGATTGATATATCATCAATAATTATACAAAATCATTGATGTCTTTACACAACACTTACACAGGACAATAGAACATGATAATATAAACCAAGATTGCTAAAAGGTGTGTACATGTGAGGCAGACATGTGTATCAGCTAAGAATTATAGGTGGCAGTGGCAGTAGCAGTACAATTTTAATTAGCATAGCATACTATAACCATTAAAAAGAAAAGATATCAAAAAACTAAAAACCACTATAAAGTATAAAAAGTAGGAAAATTTAGTTAAGTACAATAATAAAATAATAAATAATACATTACAAATGTCTGGTGAAAACAGTTAAAAAATTTTATAATTGATTTTTCCCTCTATCTTATTTGTCCAATTGCATATCTTGTTATTTCACATGGAGTTTTTTGAGGGGTTAATGCATTGTCATTCATACATGTTCTATTTCCATAATATTATACATGAGATACTGTGGGCCAAGGGTTAAATCCCTACTGACCACTTACTCAGCAACAGTCTGCAAAGACAGCCCATGTTGTCATTTCAGATGGCTTTTTATTGAGTGACATGGGTGAGCAAGTCGGCAGGCATCCTTGGATAGAAGGAGACAGGTTTAACAAAACAACAAACCATTTATTAAAATCTAAGGTTAACAAAATCGGTTAAATGTGATTAAATATTAGACAAATATACAAAGGGGCAGCTCTTAGCAGCTAAGCCTATTCTCAGAGAGAGAGTTCAAAATGCTCTAATAAAAATACCTCTATGAGGAAATAAATGATATGCGTCGAATGGTTCGTAGAAATTGGTGTAGGAACTGTTGTATGGCGATAAATATGGAAAAGCCGTGGTCTGTCTTCTATTGATATCTTCTCCTTTCGTCCGTTCAAGTCCATTGTATGGAAGTTCGGGAGACAAGATGCACGCATTGACAAGTATAACTTCCTTTGGATTGCTCTGAGCTTCCAGGGGCTCGAGCTTTTATTCGACTGTCATGGAAAAGGAGTCACGTGATTGTCAAATGTTGACAATAATGGTGCATTCTTGACACCCATGTGTCACCTTTCCATCTAATTGTTATCATAAACGGTGACCTGCAATCTAATTCTCATTAGGAGCATTTTTTCTATTGAAGTTGTTTACATTCTTCTTTCCCGACAACTGCATCAGATTCGCAGATTTCACACATGGCATCATTTAGTCAAACTTTTGAATTCCATTCTTGATGCCTAAAGATGGCTTATAAGCAAATGTTTACATCTTTGCTTTTTTCACAAAGTAATTTGTCCTGTTTTTCATATTTATTGTGAAGACTTAATTATTTTATTAAATATTGATATTATTGAAAATGATGATCTCCCAAACTTATTGTAAAAGTAGCAATTGATCTTCAAAACATACAGATGATAAAGAAACTCAACTTGCCAGTCATATGTTATAATTTATGTAGTAATTTTAAAGTGCTTATGCTGTCATATATCATTTACAATTTTCATTATTTTATATCGTATTTTTTTTCTGGTTTTAGAATCTCTGAAAATAGGATGTGTTTTAGATTTGACATATGTCATAATTAGCAATCTCTAGTTTCTTGCATCTTATTTCTCTGTCACTAATCTCATTGCATCATTTTAATAATTTCATTAGATCAATATTTGTAAAAGTAAATATTTAAAATGTCAACTTAGGCCAATCTCATTAGTCTATTATAGTAACATCAGAAATTCTTGGATTGAAATATCAGAAAAAGTTATGCAGTGCTCTCTTGATAATATAGATCAGTGCCCCTTTACTGGGCACTGATGTATATTACCAAGGTGTACAATACCAGCCCTACCAGTAGTCTACAAATAATTGCTCGAAGACCACCAGTGGATCTCCACATCACTTTGTGGGCAAAAAAATGGCAGATGAAGCATAATCAAAATGCTGCTGTTACTAAGGGCATCAATCCCAATGACACTGAACATCATATCCCCTATGCTGACACAGTGAGCCCAGGATACAAGGTTTACTTTTCCACCAAACCTCCTGAGTCAGCCATCAATATTTACACTGATGGCTCTAAAGTGGATAGAAGAGTGGGCTGCAGCTTCATCACCTAAGTAAACAGTGAGGAGATACACACTGAACGGTACAAGCTGGGTCATGACTAACATCTAAAGTTCAATCAACTTTTAGCCATAACAGAAACTATCAAATGGAGCTCTGAGAACTACAGACAGGATCATATACATATAATCATCGATAACACTACTGCCATTCACATTATCAAGAAAAGTAATACTCATCCCCTGGTTAACCAGGGGATGAGTATTACTTTTCTTGATTTTCTTGGATACTCCAGCACAGTACTAACAACAACCACCTTTCTTGGACTATGGCCCATTAGGGCAATATTGGCAACAAATGTGCAGATGCATTGACTAAGGCATCTGCTCTCAGCAGGGATATTCCAATCTGCTATAATAAGAAAACCTTCTCATATTTGAACAAAATCCTCTGGTAGGCATTATGTACTAACTGGCAGGCAACCTGGGAGTAGAAACATAATGAAACAACATATGCCTTCTTCCCTAAAATTGATGGGATATACTTGGTTTACACCAAGTCATAATCTTACACAGTTCACGACTGGACATGGCCAATTTAATAGTTATTTGCATGGATGTGGCAAACAGGACTGTAACCAATGCACCATCTGTGGGGTAGTAGATGGGTGTGCTCACTCTTTCATCCACTGTCCATTGCTTCAAAAGGAACGACTGCCCATTAAAATTGTCTAAGTGAGGGAATTGCAGCCACAACTCTCTCATAAATAACAAGACTGATCCAATATTTCACTGAATTTACCAAAAATTATCAGCAGATAACTCCTGTGCATGGCCACTGTATGCAACCTGGGATAACCTCCATTATAGAAATTTGAAAACCACATCTCATTTCATAATTGTTAATTACTTGTATATACTTATTTTTCTATATAATTGTCAGTTTAAAAAATAAATCTCTGTACTGTACAGTACATATCATATACAGGTATACCTCGCCTTACGTCAGTAATTGGTTCCAGGAGAACGACTTAAGTCGAAATACGACGTAAGTCGAATTTACTTGTCTCCGAATCTACTTGCCACTAGGCTAAACCATAAATTACCAATTCCCGTTTTGTATTTTATTTATTAATGCACTTTTAATAATATATGGTTAATAAGGATCTATTTTAAGCTTACAAACAAATAAATTTTAGTTTTTAATATAGTACAGAAAAAAGTAATTTAAATTTACGAATGCATGTACTGTAAATACAGTATATACTTGTAAATGTATATATTATAATATGATTTTATGTGCTTTAAACATTTTTCTAGTGATATTACGACTTCAATATTTGTGGCGGACAGACGTTAAGTCAAATAAAATGACTTAAACTTGATTTTTATTTTTCCATATACTTTTTTGACAAACGATGTATAATCGGGAACGACGTAACTCGAAACGATGTAAGTCAAGGTATACCTGTATATGTTACATAGACAAGCATACCTGTTTGTCTATGTAAAGGCAGCTATACACATTAAGTTAATCCTTTGAGGCGCCTGACTTGAGGAACTTCAAAATTTCCTATCGCCCACAAACGAAGAAAACCTCTCAGCAGAGGGTGGGGCAGCTTGCCCTGGGCGCCACTTGCAGAGGGGAGCCAAATGGTTTCCAAGAAAAACAAAATTTGTTTCTGGAGGGGGAGGAACACCAATATAGTGTCGCAGCCTGGGTGCCAGTTATGTTCGCTACGCCATTGTGTTTATTATTACGCCACTGACGTTTATTGGCAACAAATTCTATTAAAACTCGCGGGAAAAAAGTATGCATAGAAGTCTATGGTGTAAATAGTAGTAGTAGTGGTTTGGTAGCACTGATCACAAAATTAATTTTTCAAGAGAAATCTTGGGCTATAGATTATGTTAAAAAGCATCAATTATCAGCGAAAGACAATGGCAAGTCGATTTTACTACCAAAAAAATTCATGGATTAAATTTTATAGACGAATATATATTAATAATTCTCAACCACATCCGATATTAGTACAAATTGTAAACATTATTATCGCAAATTAATTTTATAATTTAATAATTAAAAAGAATTTATTAAACTTTGTCTTATTTTAAGTTGTCATGTTTTAATTTACTTGGATATTAAAACAATAAATTTTTTAAAATGTAGAAGAAAATGATAAAGAGTATCAAGATGTTTTATGAAAACGGAAGAAATGAATTGAGAAGTTTTCTAAATATTAAAATTATTTATAATTTTAATTTACTCAAGAAATTTTTGATCCGAAAATAATTTATAACCTGAAAAATTAATTTATTAGGTTATAAATAATAAAAGTTAATAAGGTTATAGAAAATAATTCTTCCAAACATTCACGAGACATTGTTCTTGAAACATTCACGAGACACATTTAGGTCGGCCTGCGCAGTCTGACACTGCGCCAGGAAAATCAAATGGTTTTTCAATTCTACTCCGGTAGTCGGTACAGTTCGCCAAAACTGTTAAATTTCCCTCCACACACTACCAAGAATTATAAAGGTCAGGTATGCATGGTTAATCCTTTGAGAATTAACCTAACGAGTATGGGCGATTCTACTCAGGTGGTCGGTACAGTTCGCCAAAACTGTTAAATTTTCCCCCACACACTTCCAGGAATTACTCAAAATCAGGCATGCATGGTTACTCCTTTGAGGATTAAACCCATCATGTATAGCCGCCTTAACATAGAATATTGTCTGTCATGTATTAGTTTTATATTGTATAACAAATGTATAAGCTCACATTATCTTGTAAATATCTTGTATTAGCATAGTTTATTTTACTTTGTAAATAATTATTGTCAATCTGTATATACACTTTAAAATATATATATCAGATTAATCATTTGTTTGGAACCAATTTTGAACTTTAAAATCTAAATGTACAGTACTCAATTTTACTTTACATGCAACACTACTGTTTTCCCCCAATTGTGCTATGCAATATTGGGATGTACTGCACACTGTACATACTGTTAATAAAAAATTGATTGATTGATTGAAGGATGCACCCGACATGGTGTTCCAGCAAGATAATGCCCAACTGTACATCGCATAGTAAACTCTCATCAGCGTGACTGGAATTCACATCCTCCCCTGCCTAGTAGCCTCTTCAGATCTCTCCCCCATCAAATATCTGGGGGACCTTGTCCGACATGAGATGCACCAGGGACCACAGCCACATACTATAGACAACATACTATAGACAACATGCATGCCAGTAGACACAGATTGGCAACAGATACCTCAGGCAACAATTAATCACCTCATTGATAGTATGCTTCCCAATATAGTGGCTTGTGGGGGCTGTATTCATTACTGAATAAACAGGTTTTGTTGCATATCTTTGTTTGTTCTTTTAATCATTTGCATATTTCTGTCACCTCTATCTGTTTTGCAATGTGCATGTGGCTACACACATTCCTTCATGGTGTTGCAATTTCACTTTGAGGAATACAGCAAGTAATAGTCAATGATTATATGCAACTCATTTTTTGCTGATTGCTTCTTTATTCGTCTCAATAGAATAAAATTTTAAAAATACAATAGAGAGACTTTCTAACTCATTTGACTCCATTTAAAATATTTATTCTCTCCTTTTTTGAAAAAAAAATCTCACTTTTTAATATAACATTGTATCTATTTTTAAAATGAACAAGCTTTTGGTTATAACAGCAGATGGTTTAATGTTTAAACTCCTTTGCAAACTTTTATGCTTTGCTTTTAATATTGCCCATCAATTAAAAATCCAGCATTTCTTTTAACTCAAAACCATTGTATTAAATGCTTTGTTGGCATCTCTAAAAATATATTTTCTAAATTTTTAGTAGCTGGGATGTTATTCGGCTGCAATTTAAAAAAATTGTAGACCTATACATTTCCACTGTCATCTGTCTGTCTTTCCTTAATTTGAAAACAGAGTTTTGTCAGATGGAAGATAATAATTTGATTAAAAATATTTCAGATGGAAAAAAAAAAAAACATTTGTATGCTTCAAGAAAAAAGTTGATAACACAGACACTGAATGTGAATCAGGATATTCAAATGATGATGAAACAGTTGATAAGAATATAATCTCAACAAAACAAAAAACAAAATTCCTACACTGTTCAATATTTAATTAATGCTAACAGACAAATTGTAGGTATTTATTTACTTACAAGAGCCTCATGGAACCTCCTTTGCACCTAGAGTTCAAAAATCACTGTTTAATGCCTAAACATTACTATTACAGCTAGCTCATCTGGCAAATTATCTACAGCAATTATTACAAACTATGTAAAAGATGTATTATCTCCAAATATAACAGAAACTCATTATTAATAATTGACTCGTGGAGTGGACAAACAAATATTAATATTTATAATACAGTATTTCAAAAATCTATAAAATCGAAATTCATGTGAAATACTAATTATTCCATCAAAGTATACATCTATATGCCAACCTTTGGATGTTGGATTTCATAGACAATTAAAATTTTTAGCTAAAGAAATTTTAAATGCTAAACAATTATTCTTTAATGATTCTTTGACGAAATTGTTTTGGACAACTAGAAATGGCATAATAAAATTACATTCGCTTCTTCATCATCAAATTATCTGCACCAATATTTAATAATTTGATTAAATGTGCACAATTTGCTTCTGGACTCTCATATTATTTCTTGAGCATAATGCTTAGTGCTATTATGGGCTGGACTCTCAAAAATTCAATTTTTCATGTATAACAAGTTTGATTTTCTCTTTTAGACACAGACAGTTTAAACTGTGTTGAGAATAATTGCCAAAATCTTTGATTTGTTAAATGTGCACGATGTCAACAAGTTCTTTGTTTATTTTGTTTTGTTGAAAAATATCACATAAATAGTTCTCATCTAATAATTTGTGAATATAATTACTTTTCAGTTGAATACATGTATTTAATAATAATGTTTTGATTATTTTTCTTTATATTTAATCTATCATTACTTTTATCGTATTTACTCACATATAAGACGAGGTTTTAATTCATTTTTCACTGCTTCAAAAACCTAGGTCATCCTATATGATGAGCAAAGGATTCTTTGTGTATTTGCAATAAGTTTTGTCAACCCTGTCTTTGTATTTTTTACAGGATGCTTGCTCTCTGGTGTTTTAAAAAAAACTATTTTATCTGAGTCATTTGAATCATTCTTGTGTACTGTCATGAGTAAATATGAATAGCAATAGGAATAGCAAAGCTTTTGAATTGAATTCCGAATTGAAATTTGAAAATCGGCTTACCAGCGGCCAAGCAGTTTTGTTGAGAGTCCGGTCACGGATTCGCACCTCACCAGAGCCCTTAGTCTCGAGTTTTTCATGTTGTACTCAAATTGGCATCATCGAACTCACTCATGTTACTATGACTCACATAATCAGTAGGCTCGAGTTAGACCCGTCGAGCAAACTCAAAAAGTGAGAGGAAATACGTCATACTCACTTGGTTACATATGTCATTAAGCATGATGGGATTATTTACAATGCATCTGAGTTTGTGACTATAATGATTCGACCAATCAACTGAACTGCAACAAGTTGTAAACAAATCCACTTGAATTAGTTTGCACGTGTTGCAGTTACTTTTGTTAGAGCGATAAAGAAAATGGAGACCTCTTTATTGCTTTATTTAAAAAAATCAGTGACAAACAGGAAGTAGTATTAGTCACATACATTGAAAACAACAAGAAAATGAACTCTAAAAAATTTGACAACAAGTTTACTAGGAAAAAACAATTAGATATGTGGAAGGAGTTAGTTGACAAATTAAATGCATGCTTTGGAGCAAAAAAAATCCGTTGTGGAATGGAAAAAAGTAAGTATTTTAATTTAATCCTTTCTTCAGTTTTCTTCCTTGATCTGTTTCTTAAATTGTTCAACAAACTTAACACTTCTGATTAATAAATAATCTTAATATAGTGTGTATGCTCTTAATAATTTATACATATAATTTACTATCATTTTAATTCATTCTCTTTTTCTATGAATTATACTTCTTTTTAGTTTTGGAAAAATTTGCTATATAATTTTATCAAATAAAATTTTTTTTATTAGTGCTGGCTTGACATGAAGAAAAATGCGAAAGAGAAGCCATCGAGAATAAAAAAACAGCAGAGAAAAGACTGGGGAACACTCAATAAATTGATGAGCGTCAGACAAGCATTTTTCGAATCCAGTTTGTCGATATTCTTTGATCCAGTCACAAAATGTTTGGAAATGTTCAAGAGCATTGCTTAAATGGACTTGTAAAGATTGCCATAATTTGCTTATGATATTAACACACAATAATATCTCATACCATACATGTAATGATATGATAAATTCTAAACTAAGCATTTCGTTTAAAACCGAATAACAATCACCGAGTGTGTCTGATTGTGCCGTTTGATTTTTTAAGCTTTCGATGCATTCAACATCAAATTGCAGTAATACGGCCTTCACTGCCTCGATTCTGCTTTCTCACCTTCTGTCTGATAAAGGCTTCATAGTAAGTTTTAATTTGTCTTTGATTAATTCCCAGCATTTGCTGGAACTTGAAAATAGAAAATAAATTTTCTGAATAAAACCAAAAAATGTTTTTGCTGCCACAGAAGAATTAGCTGCATCTACCAACAGCAGATTTCAGCTATGACAACCGCAAAGTGTAAAAAATGCCCTGGGATTAATATTTAATATTCAAGTTTTAACTCCACTAGTTATGGGATACTGTACTGCTATACTTTGAATGGCTTTCTAGCCATTGTGAATCGTGAAAGTAACATAAACAAACACAATGGGAAATCCCCAGCTCTGGCTGGCAGGGATTCCCCGCAATAGCAACCCAACGACAGCAAATGTTGCTAGACAAATAAAAACAAATTTGGTATGTCAATATATCTATCATCTTATAACGAGTAAAATTTTTTTGTTCAGTTTATGGCTTTTATGTAATGCATAAATCTTCGAAGCACAAGGCCCCTCGGACAGCAAGGCTGTAGGCGGTGGCCCACGTCACCCACGCCTTACGTCGCCTCTGTTGTTGTGGAATTAAATTAATGTAACTTCGAAATTCCAGTCAATAAATATGCATTTCAGCTACAGTACTAAGACCATTATTTTTATCCCTCTCTCAAAAGCCCAAGCAATGCCAAATGTATGCAGCTAGTTTAACATAAAATACAAACCTTCTGATCCATCTTGTCTTTATTCTCTTTTGCTCAATATAGTAATTTTTCAGGCATCAACCACTATAACAACGTGCAGCTACCAAGTCAATTGAAAAACTGAAACCGAAACTAACACAGACCGAAAACGTCTCCGATTAGTGAACATAAATAAACAACCGACCAATCACGTTCAATCCTTTGATATGCAATAGAATATCGAATATATTACTTTTTATTGGATATAATCAAATATTGATATTTGGGAAAGACAAGTTATATTTACTTTATTATCCATAAGTATTTTCTTAATTACTTGGATTAAGGTCACGTCAAATATTTCCAATTCGCTTTGCTCATCTTGTGTAAGCAAAATCGAGTCACAAAAAGTAAAGTCCTACATTATAAATACTTATTCATAGATGACGAAGCTTAATTTACTTTTCTAGCCAATAAAAATTGAATATGTTTAAGTAATTTCGTCTCTTTCGACTATCGAGTTTTATCTTTTTCTTTCATTTAAAAATTTTCGATCACAAATACATCTACATTTCCTAGTAATAACTTGATTTCAAGTTTTATCAGGTCTAATGAAGAAAACTTTATTCAAATACTGTCACGTGAGCCTCCGACTTGCGTCATAAAATTTCAAAATTTTACCATAGCCCTCTGGTGAGTAAAGATGTTATTCGAATAAATAAAATATTTACGAAGTTATTATTCGAAGATAAATAAATGTTTTCTCTTTTCTAAGCATTATGCTCAAGAAATTATATCTAAAACACAATGTTAGGATTTTAGTAAAATCAATAAAAAAATTTTATTTAAAATATCCAATAAAAATATTTAATTTATTTGCAATATATTTACTATTTTCATATTTCTGAAAAATATTGTGAGGACGGGACCTCACCCTTAGACGGAAACTGGCTGTCGAACCGTGGCCAATAAACCGGTTACCTATTTCGTAAACTGCAAAGGAACGGGGTGCGATACGATTTAATTGTCACATTCCAAGACCTAACTGACACGTCCCCCATCGTAGATCGTGAGGGAAAGCGGGAGATCGACCGGCGGGGAAAGTTCGGTGGTCACTTTATACTGAGTTCAAAGAAGGAATTGCGGACACTCCTTCGGAGGGGGCGGCTGCTGGGACAGACTGAACCCAGCTTCGCCTTCTCCGAGACAAGAAAAAAACACATTTAACCGAAATTTACGGGACGGTCTCACGGGGAAAAGATTGACCCGACCCGGGCCCTTAGTCTCGAGGTTTTCGTGTTACAACTCCCAACGTGTTGAAAGTGTCACGTGGTACCATCTCACACTCTGACGTCAAATTGGTAGTCTCGAGTTATAACTCACGTGCTTTCCCATCTCACCAAGTGAGTTGCTACTCACGTTGAGTCGAGCATGTGAGATCGCTACACGAAAGTGAAAATGGCTGATGGATACGCAATTCTTATCGCTATCGAAGAGTTAGATAGAGCCGAAAGGCGCTGTTTGAGAAGACAACGAATTTTTCGACCACGAGTAGATGCCATTTCTTTTCGTGTCAAGTCAACACTAATAAAAAATTTTCATTCATAATTGATCAAATTATACAGCAAATTTTTCCAAAAATAAAAAGACGTATCTAATTCACCGAAAAAGAATATTAAAATGATAGTAAATTATATGTATAAATTATTAAAAGCATAGACACTATATTAAGATTATTTATTAATCGGAAGTGTTAAGTTCTGATTAATAAATAATCTTAATAGACAAAACAATTTAAGAAATAGATCAAGGAAGAAAACTATATGAAGAAAGGATTAAATTAAAATACATTTTCCATTACATAAAGGATTTTTTAGCTCAAACACACGCAATTAATTTTTCAATTAATTCTCTCCACAAAGCGAATTGTCTTTTTCTTGTAAATTTATTGTCGAATTTTTCACTGTTTCACTTCATTTTCTTATTATTTTCTACATATGTTACTAATATTTCTTTTTGTTCTTCGCTTATTTTTAAAAATAAAACATTGGACGTTTTCATTTTGTTTCTGCGTACTATATTGCTATAAAACAACTTTTAACTGTAGCACGTGTAAACTAATTCACGTTGCTTTGTTTACAACTTGTTACAGTTATGTTGATTGGTCGATTCATTATAGTCGCAAACCCAGATGCATTATAAATAATCCCATCATGCTTAACGACACGTGCAACCAAGTGAGTATGACGTATTTCTGCTCGCCTTTCGAGTTCGCTCGAAGAGTCTAACTCGAGACTACCGATTATTTGAGTCATAGTAACACGAGTGAGTTCAATGACGTAAGTTCGAGTACAACACGAAAAACTCGAGACACGTCATTGAACTCACTCGTGTTACTATGACTCAAATAATCGGTAGTCTCGAGTTAGACTCTTCGAGCGAACTCGAAAGGCGAGCGGAAATACGTCATACTCACTTGGTT